TACCCCACTACAGCCTACCAACATATAACACATTACAATTTAACACACCCCCATAGGCAAAGTGGGAGAGAACAAGGGGTCACAAGACCAGTCCAGCAAAGCAACGCAAGCCCAGGGTGGATCACAACGTCACCACACTCCGAGCACAAGCAAAGGCCACAAGGCCAGTTCACATGCAGTGCTAGATATAGTACAGGACAAGCAACACAGTGATCTAAACCTAGCAAGCAAGCAACAAGATATATATAAAGTACAGTACAAAGAATGTCAAGCAGTGAGCAAGTGAGGAAACGTGGACACAAGGCCTAAAGAAGTACAGTGCCGCTGATGATCACTAGGCGGGAGCGCCTTGGTGAAGATATCAGCAGTGTTGGCCTTCGAGTCCACGTACACAAGCCGAAGCTGACCGCGCTGCTGAAGCTCTCGAGCAAGAAAGTAGCGAAGAGCAATGTGCTTCGTCCTGTGCTCCAGTCTATGCTCCTGACACAAGGCAAGAGCCGCCTTGTTGTCACCGTACAGAACTGGAGGAGAACTAGGCCGCTCTCCCAAGTCAGTCAGCAGGTAGGTGAGCCAGCGTAACTCCTGTGCAGCCATGGCTGTGGCGTAGATCTCAGCCTCACAACTAGAGCCGAGAACAGAGGAAGAGCGGGTGGACCGCCACGAGACAGAACCAGAGCCAAGGCTGAAGGTGTAACCCTGTGACGACCGCTGCGTAGCCAGGTCGTCCACCCAAGAAGCGTCCGAGTGGCCAGTGAGGACAACTCTGTCGTGTCCTCCAAGCACCAGCCCCATGCCTGATGTACTGCACAAGTAGCGCAGCACCCTCTTAGCAGCCTCCCAGTGCTCTCGCCTGTGTCTCCCAGGCGCAACGTAACGAGCAAGGATGCTAAGAGGGTACGCGAGGTCAGGTCGCGTGCAAGTCATCAGGTACATGAGGCAGCCCACAAGCTCTGGGTACGGGCCACTCGGCTCTACGGACTCGTCCGGAGGTGGAGCTGAGAGCGAGTGGCTGGTAGCCAGAGGTGTGGCCTGTGGTGAGGAGAACTGGAAGCCGAAGCGCTGAAGGACCTGCTGCACCATGTGTGACTGAGTCAGGGTGATGGTGCGGCGAGCTCTGTCCCGGGTGATCTGCAAGCCAAGGTAGCTACGCAGCTCACCCAGGTCAGTGCAGGTGTGTCTCTTCTGCAGCTCCGACTTCACACGAGCGAGTGCCTCAGTGTCAGCAGTAGCAAAGACCAAGTCGTCGACGTACACGAGAATGTAGAACGGCGGCAGCGACGTGTCTGTGCGCAGAAACAGCGACGGGTCAGCAGTAGACGGCGCGAACCCAAGAGCCGCAAGTGTAGTCCTCAGTGTGTCGTGCCACTCGCGTGGCGCCTGGCGGAGACCGTAGACTGGCCGGCGGAGGCTCCACTGGGTACCAGGAGGAAACGACCTAGTAAAGCCAGGTGGGCGGCGCAGCCAGATCTCCTCGTGCAGGCTGCCCTGCAGGAACGCTGTGCTGAAGTCAAGAGAGTGAAGCTCGTAGTCACGCTGAGCAGCAACGTGCAGCAGAACCCGAAGAGTGGTCATCTTCGGGGTGGGGGAGAAGGTCTGGAAGAAGTCGACCCCCTGACGCTGACTGAAGCCTCTAGCAACGTAACGAGCCTTGAAGACAGGCGGAGAACCTGGCGGCCGTTTCACCCTGAAAATCCATATGCCATCGACGATGTTCGCCCCAGGAGGGGGAACCTCGTCGACGTAGGTGCCTGTGGACTTCCAGGATGCCATCTCTGCGTCCATGGCTGTCTGCCACTGAGAGGAGTAGGGACCCGAGATCGCCTCTGCGTAAGTGCGCGGAGTGGGGATGTCTAGTGCATCCGGGTCTCCCTCAGGGCAAGCAACCAGGCCACGAGATGAGGTACAGCAGCCGCGAGAGAGTCAAAGTCCTCCTGCCTGTCCTCAAGGACGTCCGTGCCAAGAGCACACTCACCCCCGACGGACGGAGGACAGACAGACGCAGACTCAGACCCAGCAACAAGGCGAGCAGCGTAGTCTAGACGACAGGCAGCAGCAAAGTCAACCAACTCAGCGACCAGAGCAGACGCAGCCGAGGACTCAAAGGTAGGGTCAGTGACAACAGTAGCTAGGAGACGCGTGACAGTAGGGTGCTCAGCACGATACCGGTCAGACTCAGGGTCCGGAACAGCAGGCAAAGAGGACGCAGGAGGAGACGGCAGAGGGACACGCTGAGGAGCAGTAGAGGGACGCAGAGTCATGTAGTGAGTGCCTGGGACAGGAGGAGGACGCTCACGACGGACACGACGACCAGTGCGAGCAGTACGGACAGGCGACGCAGGACGAGACTCAGGCTCACGACGCTCTGTAAGACCTCCTGTGGGACCAGTGTAAGGAGAGGGAGCAGGGAGAGGCGAGGCAGGCGATAACTGTGACTGCGGCTGGACAGTCGGAGGACACTCTACGGAGGGAGGAGGACAAGGAGGAGGAGCCTGCCCAAGAACCTGCTGAAGGAGCGGTACGAAGTACGGCCGCGGCCGCGCAGCGTCTCCAGAAGCAGAAGAGACTCCAGCGTCCGGGTCCCCAGCACCAGCAGCAGCGCCACCGCTCGGGTCCTCAGCTCCAGCAGCAGCTCCACCAGGTGGGTCCGCAGCACCAGCAGCAGCAGCACCCCCAGGGTCGGCAGCTACAACTCCGCTAGCGCCGCCAGCTCCAGAGTCCCCAGCTCCAGCAGCTCCAGTCGTAGTGCGCCCAGAACAACCAGTCCCGGCAGCTCCAGTACCCCCAGCTCCAGCCGAGCCACTAGGACGGCGAAAGCGCCGGACGTACCAGTCACGAAGCTGCTGTGGTGTGAGAGACTGCTCAGCACCCCGAACCGGAGCACCCCCAGACGCAGCAACCCGAGGCTCCGTAGGCTCAGTAGCAGTACCCCCAGGCTCAGTACCCGCAGGCGCAGCACCCCCAGACTCAGCACCCCAGACTCCGCACACGCCGGCTCAGGACCCCCAGTCGCAGCACCCCCAGGCTCAGCACCCCAGGCGCCGAACTCTCAGGCACAGTACCCTCAGCTCCAGCACCCGTAGTCCCAGCACCCCCAGGCCCAGCACCCGCAGGCTCAGCACTCCCAGCAGCACCACTTGCAGCAGCACCTGAGTCACCTGTGACCTCGACAGGCTCAGCGACGGGAGGAGGGTCTACCTGAGAGACACCTGAAGGAGCAGGACCCTGAGGGGGAAGGGGGTCTACCGGAGGGGGACCAGGAGCAAGGAAAAGCGGCGGGGGAGGGAGGGGGGCAGTACGGTAGGGGAAGAGATGGTAAAAAGGGACCGACTCGTCAAAGGTGACGTCCTGAGAGGCGAAGACCCGGCGCGAGGTGGGGTGGTAAAACTGCCAGCCCGGCGCGTCAGGGACAAAGCCAAGGAAGACACAGGGAAGCGTGCGGGAGGAGAGCTTGTCCGCGGACGTATCGCGGACAAGGGCACGAGCACCCCACACCCGGAAGCGCGACGCATCGCCAACCTCCCCGTCCAACGCAGTGTGGGGCGAGGTCTCCGGCAAGGAGACACGGGGCCAGAGGTTGAGCTGATGCGCGGCGTACCGGACAGCAAACGGCCACAGAAAATGGGGAGCCGCCGCGTGGACCAAGGAGGTACGAGCGACCTCCATGACCAGGCCAATGCGGCGCTCAGCAACCCCATTCTGCTGTGGGGAGTCCGGAAGCGTGAAGGTCTGCTCGATGCCCTCCGCCTGACAGAAGGTCCTCAAGAGGTCGGAGGAAAACTCACCACCTCTGTCAGAGTGCAGACGCAGGACAGGAAGATCCGTCCGAAAACGGCGGCGGAGCTGGAGACGAACTGTGCGGATCCAAGGGATCAGAACAGCAGGGACCTCACCCTTGGTGCGCAAGGGGAAGACCGTGGTATAACGCGAGTAGTCGTCGACAACCAGCAAAAAGTACCGCTCACCGCCCTGACCACGAACGCGGGCTGGGCCCCACACGTCCAGGTGGAGGGTCTGCAGAGGAGCCTCTGTCGGGGGGAACGAGGAGGAGTGAGGAGTGGGGAGCGGCGCGCTGCCGCCCCTCGACGCAAGGAAGGCAAGGCGGCGCAGGCGAGGCAGGGAGGGGAGGGAGGGACCTGGGAAGACCAGACACAAGGTGGCGACGGTGCATGCCACGAAGGCGTGGCAAGGAGGGGTGACCCAGGCGGTGGTGCCAGAGAAGAGTCTGGTGCGACAGGGAACGACACTCACAGGCGTGGGCTACCAGACCTGACGCGGACACCTGACCGACAGCAGCGACCTGAGGAGACGCAGTGGTCAGTGTGTAGAGACTCGACCCCGGCTGACGAGTGAACGTAGCCAGGTGACGGCCGGTCCTGGAGCACGTGCAGATCGCCACACGCTGTCCTCCAGGGGTAAAGGTGTCAACCCACTGATCCTGGATGACAGCGTTGCTCACCAGGTTCGTCGAGAACGAGGGGAGGTGGAAACCCGTCAACGAGCCAGACGGAACCGCCGGACAAGGGAGCACAGTGGTGGACCGGGCAAGGACCGGGCCCCCAGAGGGGTCAGCCAAGGAGACTGGGACCGGTGCAGGAAGCGGTGTGAGCTCAGTACTGTCTCGAAAGAAGCAGCGGGAAGCACCTGAGTCAAGGGTGAAGGTGTGACAGGGCTCAGCCGGTGCAGTACCTGAGAGAGCAGTCTCTGTGGGTGCTGTACCTGAGAGAGCAGACTCGCAAGCAGCAGGGACAGTGCTGGAGGGAGCAGGTACAGGGGGCACCATACCAGAGAGAGCAGACTCACTAGTACCTAGGGCAGCGGGCCCTATACCTGGGTCAGGCGGCACACACAAGTAACAGTCTCCCTCGGCACTAACAGTCAATGCATACATGGCAGCAATAATAGCATCATAGTCAAGAGCAAAGATATCAACCCCAGCCCTCATCAGCTCAGCCCAGCGAGGGCGCTCAACATCCTCGCCCATCTCCTCACGCCAAGCGTCGTCAAGGCGGAAGAAGAAAGTAGCGGTACTGAGTGTGGAACTTTCCACACGTCTGCCCCTTGCGATCACCTGTGCGAATGACATAGGAACAGCGGCCACTGCCCCCCGACGTCCCACGCTGAGCAAGCCACTCACGAAGCTGCTGGGTCGACTGGGGACGCTGCTGCTGCTGGGAGCTCTGGCCCGAGCCTGTGCCTCCACTCCGACCTCCACCGCCGCCACTACCTCCGCTCCGACCGCCACCACCGCCACCGCCACCGCCACTACCGCCACCGCCGCCACTGCCGCCGCTGCCACCACCGCCACTGCTCCCGCCGCCGCCCCCGCCTCCGCCGCCGGCCCCACTCCCACCGGCACTCCCGCCACCGCTCCCTCCAGCACCGCCTCCCCCCCCACCTCCCCCACCCCCTCCCCCCCCAGCGCCACCCCCGCCACCCTTGCCCCCCTTGCCCTTGCCGGTGCGGCGCCTCCACAGGAGCAGCAGCAGAAGCAGCGCCAGCAGTCTCAGCACCAAGGAAGTCAACAGCAGCAGCAGTAGCATAGGAGGGAGCGAGGGGAGAGGGAGAGCATCCCTCAAAGATGGGGGTGCGAGGAGCGCCGCGAGCAGCACCTACAGCTACAATGCTCTTCTCGGCTGCTAGCAGCTTCTCCTCTAGGAGGGCGACAGTGAGCTCAGTGGGACAGCGAGCAAGGAAATAGTCGCGCACTGAGCTGAGGGTGTCAGGGAGATGGGTGACTATGAAGTGGAGTGCCCAGTACAGGGGAGGGGGGTTCTTAGCGCAGAACTCGGTGGGAAGGGCGGCACGCAGGCGAGCATCACTAGTGCGAAGGTGGGTGATAAGATCGGCGACTGTAGCAAAGGTGGACAGGTCAGGGAACAGGTAAGGCAGCATGAGACGGCTAAGCTCGGCTGTGGCAGGTGAGGAGTAGCGAGCAACGACAGCGTCGTATAGGGCTTTAGCGGTTTTGCAGTCGCCAAAGTGCTCTAGCTCGAGGAACGGCAGGTGACTGCGAATAGCCAGGCGAGCTGCAGCGTCACGAGTCTGCCACTGTGAACGTACACTAAGCTCGGCTGTGGCAGCAGGAGCAGCGGCAGCACCAGACGCGTAGTCATAGAGGGAGATGTGGTCCGTGCTATTGCTCATAAGATACAACTGCAGGTCATCGAGCCAGGAAGTGAACTGCACGGGACGGCCCTCAGCATCGAAGGAAAGAACGCGAATAGAGGCCATAGCTCAGGCGTGAGGGCACAGCAGAGCAGCGGCAGCAGCAGAGGGGACGCGGAAGAGCGAAGCTAGCAGCAACAGCAGGAGCAAGCGGCGGTGCACAGGCAGGGAGCAGCAGGCGAGGCGGGCAGCGCTGCAGGCGGGAAGTGCGGCGGGCGGGCTGCGAAGCGGGCAGCGGGGCGGGCGGGCGACGCGGCGAGCGGGCAGCGCGGCGGGCGGCTGCGAAGCGGGCAGCGGGCGGGCGGGCGACGCTGCAAGCGGGCAGCGGGCGGGCGGGCGACGCTGCAAGCGGGCAGCGAGGCGGGAGGGCGACGCTGCGTGCGAGCAGCAGCGGGCGGGCGGGTGACGGTGACGCTGCGAAGCGGGCAGCGAGCGAGCGGGCTGCGAAGCGGGCAGCGGGGCGGGCGGGCGACGCGGCGAGCGGGCAGCAAGCGGGCGGGCGACGCTGCGAAGGAGTAGCGGGCGGCGCGCGGGCGGCGCTGCGGGCGGCGGGCAGCGAAACGGGGGGCCGCGAAGCGGGCAGCGAGCGGGCGGGCGGGCTGCGAAGCGGGCAGCGGGGCGAGCGGGCGCGAAGCGGGCAGCGGGGCGAGCGGGCGACGCTGCGAGCAGGCAGCGCGGCGGGCGAGGGGCGAGCGGGCAGCGTGGCGGACGGGCGACGCTGCGAGCGGGCGGCTCGGCGGGCGGGCGACGCTGCGAGGGGCGCGCGAGGGCGCTAGCGAGGGGCGCGCGAGGGCGCTAGCAAGGGGCGCGCGAGGGCGCTAATGAGGGGCGCGCGAGGGCGCTAACGAGGGTGCGCGAGGGCGCTAACGAGGGGCGCGCGAGGGCGCTAACGAGGGGCGCGCGAGGGCGCTAACGAGGGCGCACGAGGGCGCTACGAGGCTAGGGCACGGGGTAGCGTGGTAACCGCATGCGAGCGGTGGTGGGCCCTTAAAAAAAAAAACGGTCGGTAGGTCCTAGGGACCTCCTGCTCTGAATACCATCTCAGAATCACTAGGCAAGAATGAATGAACTAGCAGAAGTTTGGGTACAAATATGAAACCCTAGTTGGGGTTGTACCCCATATTGGCTACCCCACTACAGCCTACCAACATATAACACATTACAATTTAACACGCCCGTCGCGGCGTCCCGGGGGCCCGCGCGCCGCCCCCTCCCGTCGCCTCGTCGCGGCGCAGGAGACGTAATTTGTGAGTTTCCGGACCCGCAATTATGCTAGAACGACAAAAAATTGCCTCCTCCATGATCTGCACAAGTGCGGGTGTTTTTGCTTCTCGAGGCCACAAACGTCCGAAACGAGGTTTTTTTTCTTCAGTGCAAAGACGTCATTTGTGAGTTCGCGGACCCGCAATTATGCTGGAAAATAATGGGAGTGAAGCGAGAGCGACTAGTCAGGGACCTCCACAACGGAAAATTGCCTGCTCCATGATCTGCACATGTGCGGCTGTTTTCGCTTCTCGGGGCTACAAACGTCAGAAACAAGGTTTTTCTTCAATGTTAGGACGTCATATGTGAGTTCGCGGACCCGCAATTATGTTGGAGAATCCCTGGGACTGAAGCGAGAGCGATTGGTCAGGGACCTCCACGACGGAAAAATTGACTGCTCCATGAACTGCAGATGTGCGACTGTTTGTGTTTTTCGGGGCTACAAACGTCCAAAACGAGGTTTTTTCTTCAATGTAAAAACGTCGTTTGTGAGTTCGCGGACCCACAATTATGCTGAAAAGTACCTGGGAGTGAAGCGAGAGCGATTGGTCAGGGACCTCCATGACGGAAAATTGCCTACTCCATGATCTGCACAAGTGCGGCTGTTTTCGCTTCTCGGGGCTACAAACGTCAGAAACAAGGTTTTTCTTCAATGTTAGGACGTCATTTGTGAGTTCGTGGACCCGCAATTATGTTGGAGAATCCCTGGGAGTGAAGCGAGAGCGATTGGTCAGGGACCTCCACGACGGAAAATTGCCTGCTCCATGATCTGCAGAGGTGCGACTGTTTGCGTATTTCGGGGCTACAAACGTTCAAAACGATTTTTTTCTTCAATGTAAAGACGTCATTTGTGAGTTCGTGGACCCGCAATTATGCTGGAAAGTGTCTGGGAGTGAAGCGAGAGCGATTGGTCAGGGACCTCCACGATGGAAAATTGCCTGCTCCATGATCTGCACAGGTGCGGCTGTTTTCGCTTCTTGGGGCTACAAATGTCAGAAACAAGGTTTTTTCTTCAATGTTAGGACGTCATTTGTGAGTTCGTGGACTCGCAAATATGTTGGAAAATGCCTGAGAGTGAAGCGAGAGCAATTGGTCAGGGACCTCCACGACGGAAAATTGTCTGCTCCATGATCTGCACAGGTGCGGCTGTTTTCGCATCTCGGGGCTACAAACATCCGAAACGAGGTTTTTTCTTCTATGTAATGACGTCATTTGTGAGTTTGCAGACCCGTAATAATGTTGAAAAATGCCAAGGAGTGAAGCGAGAGTGATTGGTCAGGGACCTCCACGACGGAAAATTGTCTGCTCCATGATCTGCACAGGTGCGGCTGTTTTCGCTTCTCGAGGCTACAAACGCCCTAAACGAGGTTTTTTCTTTAATGCAAAGACGTCATTTGTGAGTTCCCGGACCCGCAATTACGCTGAAAAATGCCTGGGAGTGAAGCGAGTGTTATTGGTTAGGGACCTTCACGAGGGAAAATTGCCTGCTCCATGATCTGCACAAGTGCGGCTGTTTTCGCTTCTCGGTGCTACAAACGTCCGAAACAAGGTTTTTCCTTCAATGTAAAGACGTCATTTATAGGTTTGCGGACCCGCAATTATGTTGGAAAATGCCTGGGAGTCAAGGGAGAGCGATTGGTCACGGACCTCCACGACGGAAAATTGTCTGTTCCATGATCTGCACAGGTGCGACTGTTTTCTCTTCTCGGGGCTACAAACTTCCGAAACGAGGGTTTTCTTCAATGTGAAGACGTCATTTGTGAGTTCGCGGACCCGCAATTATGTTGGAAAATGCCAAGGAGTGAAGCGAGAGCGATTGGTCAGGGACCTCCACGACGGAAAATTGTCTGCTCCATGATCTGCACAAGTGCGGCTGTTTTCGCTTCTCGAGGCTACAAACTATCAGAATAGCTAGGCAAGAATGATTGAACTAGCAGAAGTTTGGGTACAAATATGAAACCCTAGTTGGGGTTGTACCCCATATTGGCTACCCCACTACAGCCTACAAGCATAATACAGTTTAACACACCCCCATAGGCAAAGTGGGGGAGAACAAAGGGTCACAAGACCAGTCCAGCAAAGCAAAGCAAAGCCCAGGGTGGATCACAACGTCACCACACTCCGAGCACAAGTAAAGGCCACAAGGCCAGTTCACATGCAGTGCTAGATATAGTACAAGACAAGCAACACAGTGATCAAAACCTAGCAAGCAAGCAACAAGATATATATAAAGTACAGTACAAAGAATGTCAAGCAGTGAGCAAGTGAGGAAACGTGGACACAAGGCCTAAAGAAGTACAGTGCCGCTGATGATCACTAGGCGGGAGCGCCTTGGTGAAGATATCAGCAGTGTTGGCCTTCGAGTCCACGTACACAAGCCGAAGCTGACCGCGCTGCTGAAGCTCTCGAGCAAGAAAGTAGCGAAGAGCAATGTGCTTCGTCCTGTGCTCCAGTCTGTGCTCCTGACACAAGGCAAGAGCCGCCTTGTTGTCACCGTACAGAACTGGAGGAGAACTAGGCCGCTCTCCCAAGTCAGTCAGCAGGTAGGTGAGCCAGCGTAACTCCTGTGCAGCCATGGCTGTGGCATAGATCTCAGCCTCACAACTAGAGCCGAGAACAGAGGAAGAGCGGGTGGACCGCCACGAGACAGAACCAGAGCCAAGGCTGAAGGTGTAACCCTGTGACGACCGCTGCGTAGCCAGGTCGTCCACCCAAGAAGCGTCCGAGTGACCAGTGAGGACAACTCTCTCGCGTCCTCCAAGCACCAGCCCCATGCCTGATGTACTGCACAAGTAACGCAGCACCCTCTTAGCAGCCTCCCAGTGCTCTCGCCTGTGTCTCCCAGGCGCAACGTAACGAGCAAGGATGCTAAGAGGGTACGCGAGGTCAGGTCGCGTGCAAGTCATCAGGTACATGAGGCAGCCTACAAGCTCTGGGTACGGGCCACTCGGCTCTACGGACTCGTCCGAAGGTGGAGCTGAGAGCGAGTGGCTGGTAGCCAGAGGTGTGGCCTGTGGTGAGGAGAACTGGAAGCCGAAGCGCTGAAGGACCTGCTGCACCATGTGTGACTGAGTCAGGGTGATGGTGCGGCGAGCTCTGTCCCGGGTGATCTGCAAGCCAAGGTAGCTACGCAGCTCACCCAGGTCAGTGCAGGTGTGTCTCTTCTGCAGCTCCGACTTCACACGAGCGAGTGCCTCAGTGTCAGCAGTAGCAAAGACCAAGTCGTCGACGTACACGAGAATGTAGAACGGCGGCAGCGACGTGTCTGTGCGCAGAAACAGCGACGGGTCAGCAGTAGACGGCGCGAACCCAAGAGCCGCAAGTGTAGTCCTCAGTGTGTCGTGCCACTCGCGTGGCGCCTGGCGGAGACCGTAGACTGGCCGGCGGAGGCTCCACTGGGTACCAGGAGGAAACGACCCAGTAAAGCCAGGTGGGCGGCGCAGCCAGATCTCCTCGTGCAGGCTGCCCTGCAGGAACGCTGTGCTGAAGTCAAGAGAGTGAAGCTCGTAGTCACGCTGAGCAGCAACGTGCAGCAGAACCCGAAGAGTGGTCATCTTCGGGGTGGGGGAGAAGGTCTGGAAGAAGTCGACCCCCTGACGCTGACTGAAGCCTCTAGCAACGTAACGAGCCTTGAAGACAGGCGGAGAACCTGGCGGCCGTTTCACCCTGAAAATCCATATGCCATCGACGATGTTCGCCCCAGGAGGGGGAACCTCGTCGACGTAGGTGCCTGTGGACTTCCAGGATGCCATCTCTGCGTCCATGGCTGTCTGCCACTGAGAGGAGTAGGGACCCGAGATCGC